GGGGGGCGGGAGGGAGGCTGTACTCACCGCGGGCCGCGCAGCTCCGGCCCCGGCGGGCCAGCGTCTGGTGCACCTGCTCCTGGATCCGCAGGCTCTTGGCCGCCTGGCCCCCGCGGCCCCCGCTGCCCACCAGCCTCAGCTTGGCCTCGGAGGGCAGGGCCAGGCTGGAGCTGTCCAGGTGTCCCAGGATCTGCTGGCCCAGCACGGTCCGGATGTAGCCACATTCAGCCAGCGAGCCCGGGACCGCCATTGCTCCGGTGGGGTGAACGGCCGCCGGCCTGCCCCAACCTGCGAGCACAGCCCGGGAGGCGCGGGGGCGTGGCCGCAAGCCCCGCCTCGCCCGCCGGCTCCCCGCGCTCCGCCCGCAGACCCGCCGACCCGCTGCGGGGAGGGGCGTGGCTCAGCGGGGCACGCGCGCCGTGGCCGGGAGCGCGCGGTCAGCGGGGTCGCGCACGTCCTGGAGGCCCGGGCACCGGCAACACGCCCCCGAGGGATGGTGGGCCGAGCGGCCCTGAGGACTGTGTCCGCGCGAGCAGCCGGTGTCGTTAGTCAGGCCGTGTCTCATTTCCCGATGTTCCCTGCTCTTGCAACACGAGGAAAGATGTGTGAGATCAAAGACTCCAAAAGGCCCTTTTCTAATCCTTAGTACAACTTAAGGGCTGTGTACATTTTGCACAGACGGAGTCCCAGAAACATATGTTCGTCCTCACCGAGAGCTGCTGCCTGCTCTTGCAGATACACAAATTGTACCCGGCGCGCGCTTTGCCTCCCACGTCTCTTCCTAACACACCCACACAGAGAAACTCCAGTAAGAGGCCCAGGGAAGAGCTGACTTTTAATACGCTTACGGCTGAATGAGTAAGTCCTCTTTATGAGCACCTCTTTGTAGGGAAACCCGTGGAAGGGGCCTGCAACTTTCAGTTGCGTTTTCCACGACTTGAATTTATCGTGCTCCATTATGCTTCAAACGCTGTAAAGCACTGAGAACTTGAGGGCTAAGCAACAGAGGGTGCTTGACCTTAAAGTTTACGGCCTAGACCGCGCTTCGCTTCTTAGACTGGAATTTAGACTTGAGAGGTAGAAAGGAAAACATCTAGTTTTGCATTGAGAGCTTCCATTCCATTGCTTGGCTTTGCACCTTTGCTGGAGGGCAGGAGAGCAGTTTGCCTCTTTCCCAGTTTCCTATCTATAACTTTCCACCCACACAGTTAATACACAGGTAAGGTATGTGGCTTCCCATTTTACCTGAGCCTCCAGGGAGTGAAGAGGAAATTAAAAGACTAAAAACTCGGGAAACCAGTGGTGATAGTTGAGTCATCCTTTCTCAACAGGCCGCATTGGCTTAGGGTGACCTGGAATGTAGAGCTAAGTGGAAGCCATGTGAATGGCAAGTCTTGGAAGCAATTCCTCCCGCCCAAACAGGACAAGTCTTTAGGTAAATTTTACCTTATGTAGAGCTCAGTTGTGCATCCAGATGTAAATATCTAACCGTGAGGCTAATATTTAATTAGAAATAGGAATAAGTCGAAGACCAAGTGACAATATAGACTTATGTTCCACTGCAAGCCTCTCTCCTGCCCACTCCTTTCTCCTTTCTTCCATTTCCTCCTGATAGCCCCTGGTCTGTTGCTTTCAGAGAGGACTGAGGCACCGACCTACAGATTCAGCTAGTGGTGCATACTGGTTTTTATGCCTGGAGCACCATGACTTATAAGTTCACGCTCTGCTTTACATCTAGATCCTTTAATGGGGGCCTGCCAAGTAATTGTTCTCATTTATTTTTGTAAACATAACTTTCCTTTTTCCTCTCAAATCAATTTTTTAAAGTGTGCTGCTGTAATTGATTACCCTGTTAGGTAGGTTCCAATAAATGAAGGCATATTGTTAGTGGGAAGTTGGGTGATTTAACAGGAGAAAGGCAATTCGAAACATAGCTTAAGAGTAGGGGCAGATATAGCCTCAAATATTAGCTCGCCCTTTGTAAATGGTGTGCCTTAAAGAAGTTTGGTATGTTATTACATCTCAATTCTCGTCTGTAAGCAGAACAACAAATGTTCTGTCATTACAGGTTGTGAGCATTAAACAATGAGTAGTACATTGAGAAATGTTTGACAGCCCCTGAAGTTCAGTCTGGACTTTCCAATTTACAGACTGTAAATTTTGAGACAGGGTGTCTAGTCCAGGCTGGCTTTGAACTACCTATGTAGCCAATAAGTACTCCAAACTTGTGATTCTTGTGCGTCTACCACGAGAGTGCTGGGATTCTAAGCACATGCTGCCATGTCTGGTTTATGTAGTGCTGAGGAGTCCACCCAGTGCCTTACAGATGCTGTCAATTGAGCTACATCCCCAGCTCAAGATTTACACACTTTATTCTTGAAGCACTTATCTGTCATTGTTTTCAATTCCATAGAGACTCCTCAAAGTGAGTTTTATTTTCATTAACCATATACAAATTATTTTATGGGACATTCCAGTATATAAAAAATTCGGAAAGTTATTTGAAGACTAACTAAATCATGTCTTTGTGTGGTTGTCCATATGTGTATTTATGTTCCTGTGTGTTCATGTGCACATTGTGTTCATGCACATGTGGAGGCCAGAGGTCATTGTTGTTGGGTGTCTTGTTCAATTGTTTTTCACCCTATTCTTTAAGACAGGGTCTCTCACTGAACCTGAAACCCCCCGATTTGGCTAGACTGGCTGACCAGCAAGTCTCAGGGTTGTTCCTGTCTGTGCTGCTATAGCACTGGAGTTAGAGGAGTACCCTGTCATGCTCAGCATTTAGAATGAGTGCTGCAGATCAAAATTCAGGTCAGCAGCTGACCCATCTCCCCAGCCTCTCATAAGTCTTAATAGCCTCTTAATAGCCTCTTATAAGTCTTAATAGAAAATAATAGTGATTAATGGAATTCAAATCCTGTTTCTTATTAAAAGCAAAAGCACTGATTTATATTAAAACATCAACTTGTGAAGCCCTGTCACTATTTATAGGCTATTTATTGCTTTTAGAAATATTTCCTAAGTTAGTATAAGGAACATGGAAGAGAGGATTTTTAACATAAGCCTCAGAATTTATTTCCTTTTTAAACAAGTGGCTATGTTGCCAAGGCAATCTGTAACAGTTTTAACATTAGTCACATATAATGGAGCTTGATCAGGTCTAGAAAAGGAAGCTATGAATACTCAGTGCTGAAAAAACCACTCTGATGGATGCTTCCAACAGCAGCAAGGATTAATGTGCCCAACTCCAATTCCGGGGTTCATTTAGTCTGCAGTTTTGCAGTTTAGTCTTTAGAAAAGACATCGATGTGGGCTGGGAGATAGAAACTGGGTGGTTGGCCTGGCAGAAAGCTGACAGTGACACATTTGTTTATTATTAGGGAGGATTCAAACAGTTCCTCCAGGCTTGTGTTAGCACAGTATGTGAGTTCAGACAATTCTCTTCTGGATAGATGACCACAACTGATACAGCAGTGGTTGTCAAATCCTTGATCTGATGGCCCAAGAAGCTGAACAGAGGGGTCAGTGTTGTTGAGACCATGGTCCACACTTGTCCTCTGCCTTAAAACCTAAAGTCACTATGCTGGCAGAGTAAAGATATTTTAAGTAATTTGTGCTGCTCCATTTGGCTATCAGATTATTGAAGAAAAATGGCCACCAAAAAGTCAGAATTTCCCTTATTGGAATTTCTAGATTCCATGTGGGAAAAAGGAGAACATCTCCAATATGCCAGTCTAAAAGACAAGTAAAAGAAAAGCAGAGAGGTTACATTTACTCATTAAGGCCACATTAGAAAAGGAGCAAACAAAAAGATCCAGTGACCCCACTCCCATGTTGCTCTTCAGGGTCCTGGCATGAGGTTAAGTTTTAAAAGCAAGGCGAGAGAAGAGATGAGCTTAACCAAGAGTCCTGGTTATGGTGTGGTCATGCCATCACTGACCCATCACTGTCTGGACTCCAGTCTCCCCTCCAGGTAGTAGAACAAGTTCTCAGAACTGTGTGAACTCTCTTGCCAGGAGACAAGTTCCTCTTCTGTCTGTCTGGCACCAGCCTCACCTTTCTCCTTTTTCTAGCATGAAATCTTTGGGGAAATTCTGATTTCTTGGTGACCGTTTTTTTTCTTCAATAATCTGATAGCCAAAGGGAGCAGCACAAGTTCCTTAGACTATCTTTGCTCTGCCAACCTAGTGACTTTAGGGGTTTTTTTTGGGGTGGGGGCGTCTTTTTGAGACAGGGTCTTCCTATAGCCCCAGCTGTCCTGGAACTCACTATGCAGACCAGACTGGCCTTGAACTCACAGAGATCCAACTACTTCTGCCTCCCAAGTGCTGGGATTAAAGGTGTGTGCCACCACGCCTGGCGTGACTTTAGGTTTTAAGGCAGCGAACAATGTGGATCGTGGTCTCATCCACACTGACCCCTCTGTTCAGCTTCTTGGGCCATCAGATCAAGGATTTGATAACCATCGCTGCATCAGCTGCAGTCATGTATCCAGAAGGGAATCGTCTGAACTCACATACTGTGCTGACACAAGCCTGTGAATCATGAGGAACTGTTTGAATCCTCCCTAATGATGAACAAATGTGTCACTGTCAGCTTTCTGCCAGGCCGTCCACCTGGTTTCTATCTCCCAATCCACATTTGATGTCTTTTCTACAGACTCAGAATTTATGTAAAATTGCAGACAAAATGAACACTCAAATTGGAGTTGGACACATTAGCCCTTGCTGCTGTTGCAAACATCCATCAGAGTGGTTTTCAACACCTAAGTATTCATACCTTCCTTTTCTAGACCTGACCAAGCTTCATTATATGTGGCTAATGTTAAATTTTGTCAGGGCTGCTAAAGCCCAGGCTCTGACCCTAACATCTCCAGTAATACTAGCACCAAGATAGCAACTGTTGCTCCATAAATAGTAAATTTATTGTAACTTCTCACCTAAAGTCAGCTAGTTCATTAGTTTGCCTGAGGTGCAGGTGACCAAAGGTTCCCAAAGAAGGTAGACTAGCCTGAAACTTTCATACCTACCCGAAGCAAGCTGTCTAGTGACGTCTGAGTTTATGAAGTATCAGAGAAACTCAGTAGTAGTACTTTTTATGACTTTACCAATCCAGTTTCATGCATTTTCTTAAAAAAATTGCACTACATATATTTTTAAATTGTTTTGAAGATGCTGATTGACAAAGTGTAAGCATATATTCATTCAGAAATAAACTATTTGTATTTTTAAATGTCTTTTTTTCAATGCACACCATTATTTTGTTAAAATTCCAAAAGCTGAGTTATATTTTATAAAGAAAAATAATAATCTGGCTTGGCTTTGAAAAGCCCAATCTTTGCCCCCCTTTTCCTTTTACAAATTTAAACTATCATC